AGCACTCAGAGCATCCAGAGCTTACTGGGAGACAAGTGGGAGACAAGCCTGAAATCATGCGGCCAGAGCACTGAGAGCATCGAGAGCTTACTGGGAGACAACTGGGAGACAAGTGGGAGACAAATGAAAGACAAATATAAAATCATGCGGCCAGAGCACTGAGAGCATCCAGAGCTTACTGGGAGACAAGTGGGAGACAAGTGGGAGACAAGTGGGAGACAAGGGTGAAATCATGCGGCCAGGAACACAAGTCCGGAGACAAACTCAAAATCATCCGGCCCGAGCATGCACCCCTTTAAAAGGAGTAAGAACCCCTCACAGGTAAACCTGTTTGGGGAATAATTAAAACTAAAAGGATCAACTGTGACACGTCCACATTCTTGCTATTAGGGGTAGGCCGCTAGTGGGTTGGAGACCATCGCTATTAGGTTGATTGCTAAGAACATTTCTCTCAAGGAAGTCGAAGTACTCTGGACAAGAAATCACAGCTGGGGAACATGCCTGCATTGGGATGAGTTTCTTGGACTGCACTGCAATCTGGCGCTTTGCACGCCACTCAAATTGGCATGCATCCACCTTGCTTGGAAAGCCCTGAACCTTGGTTTGACCAAAGCTCGAAAAATATTCACAATCCAAAGCAGCCCAAGTGGCTGGAAGTATCAAATGGTATCATTCGGAACATTTCTGACGCCAATGCAGAACAATTTGCCATTTGCCAAGCAACGACACAAACGACCTGCCATGGGCCTCCAGCTCTGGTAGCTTTTGCACCTCCACGGAGTTCACCATTGTGCTGTCTCAATCTCCTCGAAAGATCTGTAGTGATTCCCGTATATGCCCGGCGCCGAGTCACGGAAGCAAGCAGGTAGCAACAGAAGCCACCATCCTCACCTTGTCAAGCCGGAGCTCCAGCTAAGAGCCAGCTGGAGGCAATCTGGAGTGACTAGAGGAAAGCAAGGGTTCTTCAAGTTCTTCAAGAAAGCTTCTCCGGCCCTTAGGGGTGTTTGAAGAACCCTCGTGGTAAGAAGTGATCATGTCCAAGCGTGAGTCGGTTTGCTCATGTGAAAGTGCCACGGTGTGCTTCGGAGCTCCAGCCAGTCAAAGAATAGCCACAACTCGTGAAGGAGGTTTGCATGCAAGGTCACGCTGTCCAATGTCCAAACAGTCACAACAGCTCTCAGTTCATCAATCACACTTAGCTTTCAGTTGCCATATTCGAGACGAAACACTCCATTCTAAAACCTGAACTCACTAGTGGTGAGAGAAGTAACTATTATGTGCTTTAAATGCTTTTTCCTCTCATCTTCAACTCATTTGTTTTCTCCCTTGGATAATGCTAAGTCAAACCCCTGCAAGTCGCCTTGCTGATCGGCTGCAACCTCCAAATTCTTCGAATGTGGTGAGTGAAAACATCAAAAGCAACATCTAAAAGCACATGACAATAAGGTTTGTCAGTGTGTTTCCTGAAAGTCCTACAGCCTTGCTGACACTACCCTAAGCAAAAGCCGAAAACCAGCTTTCTTTCAGCATCGCCTCATCTGATTCGCCACTGGAAACTTCAACGACGGCTTGACTCCGCCGAGGGCATGCAGCCGGCTTGCCTGAAACATCCGAACGAAGAGTTTTGCCTTGTAAATTTGGGCGAATCAAAGCATCAGCTACCTCAATCGCATGGGTGAGACTGGTCCAACATCTGATCAGGATCACATCACAAAATGCCTTAGGACAACAAGCAAGATTTCTTGTAGTGGCCATTCCATCCTCCTAGGAAAGCAAGTGTGTCACAAAAATCCTCTCTCGCTCTCTCTCTCCGCCTCGAAGGTGCAGTCCCTCTTTGACCATGGCAAAGGCCAAGAGCGAACCCAAGCGGCTCAGCATGCGCACATCTCTAAAAAGGAGTGAGGAAGTCTCAATGGACAGGGAGAGGGGAAGAGAAATGAACAACCACTTTGGTCTGGACTGTCTATGTTGCGGAAGGGGTTGTTGCTCCTCACTGTGCGCAAACACATGGGCTGTGGAAAGCTTTGTGAAGAACCTCTTGCCTCTTTGTGTCACCTATCTACCTTGCCAAAAGTTTCCGAGAATCCATCTTATGTTGTGAAAAGCACTCTGAGCTTCAACTGCCAGGATTGATTTGTAACATACATCAATAACACAAGTAAAGATTAGCAAAATCGCCTTGGCACACGGTGCGACGCTGACACTGCGCAGCTTTTCTTGTGAAAAATGTGTGTGTGACACATCAAGGCATGGTTCTCACTCAGCTTGAAGAGCCTTGGCTGTGTTGATCATAAACGGAACACACCAAGGTCCACACAGCTTATTTGCTCGTATTCTGACAAGCTATTAGGAACAATGTTCGCTACTAGGGGCTCCTGGCATCGCTACTAGGAGCAAGGACGCTACTAGGGGCTCTTGGCCGTACTACTAGGAGCAAGAAGCTATTAGGAACAAGCTCGTATTCTGACAAGCATCTTTGTCAACATCTGCAAGAGATACCACACCAAGAAGGCGCTTCCTCAGGTGGAAGGAAACACCGGAGTTTCCGCAATCAACGATCGGAGTTGCCTTGAATTAAGTCCAAGTTACGCAAGCCTTCCAGTTTGGCTGTTTGATTCCTGAGGCAAGTGAGCTCAAGTTACAAGTCTTCAAGTGTCTGATGCAAGCCTCTCTGCCTGCTACCTCTTGCTATCTTTCAATCAAAAACGCTTAGAAGGCTTTCTGTCAATTGAAAAGGCAAAAAGGGGGTCCTCCACAACTGCAAGGCATCCACCAGAACCAAGCTGAAGAAGCTGCTCGCGTGCCTCCTCCAGCATTAGGCACCTCACTTCGTATCCCTCACAGTTGCACATGCTCTCCAAATGAATATGGAAAATGTTGGAAACTTGTGCACAGTATTGCTGAATTTGCAAAAACTGCATCCTTCTTCCTTCCCCAGATTCAACCAGCAAGCTGAGTACCCAACGACGGCACCACCATTGCAGCCTTGAAAAAGGACATGGCAGATAATCATCGGCATGTAAGCTGCCAATTCTTGTGGGGTGCGTGGTCATCTTTGTCTGTGGGCATCTGTAAAATGTCTGGAACTGAATATAAAATGATTGATTAGACATGTTTGGACAAACAATCAAGACCTGCCTTGCAAGAAGAAATCTTGTTTCCAGGCTCATTAACTCTTTTGTGAAAAATACCATCGCAACTTTGCTTGAGGTCCCAACTGATGGTGCAAGCTCCTCAGTGCACCGAGGTGTGTAGAAGATGCAGACGAATGGATGGCGTAACTTGTGCACAAGGAATCGCAAAAACTGCTCAGCGAAACTGCCGCCAAAGGCACAACACTTCCAGGAGGAATTGCAGTGACGACCGAGCTACGACCTCGCAAGCAATCTAATCGACCAATAAGATAAACTAGTAGCAAGAAGCTACTAGGTGGAGGCCATCGCTATTAGGTTGGAGGCCATTACTACTAGTAACAAGAAGCTACTAGACACAGCACTTTCTGTCCTCGTAGAGTCTTCTGCACCTGGAAAGGTTGACAGACAGTCTTTTACATACACAGATGTTGACACCAGCGGCAGATGCACCTCTAAGGCCTCTTGGACAGCTGGCTTCTTTCCTGTCAGGTGGCTGGGTTGTCCAAAAGCCCTTGAAAGTCCTTTCCGCCTTGCCTGAACTTGCTTCCCATCTGGATAGAAGTTTTGGCCACCTTCGCACAAGAAGATCCTCAACATAGACTGCCACACCTGACCACACCGCCAATCCCCCCACGGTACAAAAGCCTTGTCTTTGCTTTCTCTTTGTTCAACTCCTTTCTCACGCAGTAAATAATCACAAAAAACTATCTATAAAGCACCAAGCCAAGATTGCTGAGACCCCCTCTCTTGCCCGCCTGTGGCTGCTACCGTCGGCAAAACAACGCCGTAGTCCTTGCCGCCCGCCAGCTCCAGTAGAAGCACTACAGCAGTCAATGGTAAGTTGCAGATGGAGCCCAAGCAAGCAGCCATTCCAACCACAGCGTAGGTCGCAGGAACGCTGAAAGCCCTTTCAATGTCAAGGCCTGGAAGACTGATGGCCCATGGCCAGAAGTTGTCACGCAGGTTGCGCCCAAAGAGACCTCCAAGACAGGCACCCATGAAGAGCGCTGGCGCGAAAAGACCACCAACTTGACCTGAGGATTGGCAAGTGGCCGTGAGGAAGATCTTACAGAGCAACAGAAGTGATAAGTGATACAGTGGATCGCCTGTGAACGCTGGAGGCTGCTTGCTGCCATCAGCGTATTCCAATACTAAATTCACGTTGGCAAAGCCTTTGTAAAGAACTTCTTGAGTGCTAGGGTTTAAAGTGACCACGGCCACAACTATCCCAGCGAGAACTGGGAATATGAAGCGCGGACAGCCGGCCTCTGCCAGGAACGTAAAGCCCTCCCTGTTCACTCTCCGAAGGTAGCGTAAAGTTGCAGCAACCAAGCCGCAGAGCAAGCCTAGAAACATGAAGACGGGGAGCTCCCAAAGTGAACGTGCGGGCACCCAACCAAAAAATTCCAAATCAACAGCGGGGCTTGATCCAAGACCTAGCTGTGACACAGTAGCAGCCAAGACAGCAGCTATGAGCTGCATAGAAAACCCTCGAGCGCGTGCTTCATCTGGAGCATTGGCTGGCACCGATTCCAGTGCAAAGAAGAGTCCGGCAATTGGAGCATTGAAACCAGCGGCGATTCCACTTGCACATCCTGCTGCCAACAAGTTCTTTCGGAAGGCTTTCTCCAGTTCCGTCTCGTCGCTCGACTCGTCGCTCTTGTTGGAGGTGCGACTGGGGAAGGCCACGTTGGCACCGAGATTCGCAGCAATGTTGGCACCGATCTCTACAGACGGGCTCTCAGGGCCCAGCGAGTTGCCGCCGGCTAAGGTCAAACCTGCAGCTAATGCTCGTAGGGGTGCTTCGGTCAAGTCACCGGAGGGTACCCCACCATTCGCCTTCAAGGTCGCCAGATCGGAGTCTCCAGACAAGCCTTTGGGACCACGTAGAAATAGCAGCAGACTTACGAGTGATGCTGATAGAATAGGTGCCAGGATGGGCAACTGTCCAGGAAGTTCCAACAGAAAATCCTGCAGCGAATGGACGAAGTCATTCAACACCACTACAACAGCACCGGTCAGGAGCCCAGTAGCAGAAGCCAGCAACACCGGTGAGGTCATGGGCAAATCGTCAGTCGTCTCAGCGGCAAGTCTCGTCCGCCCAGAGCTGCGAAGATGTCCTAAAACATTCATGATTACAGATTCGGACTCCTTGTGAAAAAAGCGGGGTCTAGATCGACAAAAATTGGAGAGATTGACTGATTGACTCTTAAATAGTTATGTTTAAAAAAAAGAAAAATGTTACAGTAAAAGTGGCAACTTGCACAGTGCATGATTAGTAGGTACCAAAAAAAGAACTGAAGTATGCATGCGCCTACATGACCCAGTATGGTTTTAAGTTCTTTTAACAGCACTGGGGAAACTTCAAAACTGACGAAGTGTTGCAACCAACGGAGGTGTTGGGATCGCTGCTGCCATGAATCAAAACCCTCCACTGAATGCGGCATTAGATTGGAACTCTACATCTGTCTTGCAAATCCGCTACTATATATAACAACACACATCAATTTGAATACAGACCTTCTTGAAAGGAAATACGACTCCTGCTTTCCTCCTTGAAGGGAAACTGAGAAAACGTAAAGATTCAAGGCTCTCCCAAAAGAGGTACATGATCTCCTCTGCCGTGCTGTTTCAGCCAGAGAAAAGCTTTTTTCTCGTGCAGAGTGGACCCACGCAGCCGATACACCGCTGTCGTGCCATGCGGCTCCAGTCACCAAAGCCTGAAGCACAAGAAGCTAGAAGGGATGCTCTCCAGCCTAATAGCAAAAGGAACCTAATAGGACCTAATAGCGATGGCCTCCAACCTAGAAGCTGAAAGCTGTGCACTTTTCTCTCATGAGTCTCATGTGTGACATTTTCCAAGGACCCAACAATACCTGCACATGTTCGGCGGTTCCTCCGACGCATACTAAGAATATGTTCTGTAAATTTTGCAACACTGGTCCACCCTCTTGTCAAGAAAATCTGACATGACGAAGACAGTCTAACATTACAGATTTGTAGAGTGGCACTGTCTGTCTGGAAGGAAATGGTATCGGTATGAAGCACTACTCCTTGAATTCTTGCCGGCACCGTGAAGCTTGCAATGCTGTGGATCCTACCAAATCCAGGTTGAATAAGAGATCGGAAGTCTAGACCATCTCACACTAACACGGATGCAAAGACACGCTTGAAAGCCGTTGCCAGTTGCACTAAGACATGAAAAGACAATGTTCATCAATGTTCGGCCCTTTGCCTTTGAACTCCAACCTAATAGCAATGGCCTCCAACCTGATAGCGATGGCCTCCAACATGAAAACACAATGTTCCCTGTTCCCATTGGCCCTTTGGCCTTAGAAAGCGCTTTTTACCTCCGCAGCGCAACAGCTCGAGTTGGCTAGCCGCCGGTCAATCTCACTCCAGGCGCGGGCGCTTCAAGGCTGATTCCTGCTGCCATGTTTCCGGTCTTCGCTCAAAGCTGAGTTCCTGGGAATTTATCTAGTTAATCTTTAACTCTTAATTCTTTGGAGATGAAAAGAAGAAGGTAAGAGCCTAGGCGGTCTTGTTAGAGGCACCCACAGTTGTTTCATAACCTTTACAAGAGTTTGCGAAGCTGGCAGGTTTCCTCAGTCCGTCAGGTTTACACAAGTGTGAGACTTTGCAATTGTGGAGTTTGCTTATCACAACATCAATGGATTGCAAAGTTGCACGGGAATTTTGCGCAAAGGTTTGGATATGCTGGAATCTATCTGCACCTACCACCTCCGGCAAAAGAGAACAACTGAACTCCCTGTTGGACAAGGAGTGCATTTATGAATCCGCCAGGTTTGCACAAACATTGAGAACAAACGATGCAACGCCGAACTAGCTACTGAAACTTGAAATTCTGAAGGGGCCAAGGGAGACCGCAGCTTGTCTGCTGCAATGAACATTGGACGTACAAGAGGTAGAGTCAGGTAGAGGCACTCACAAATACATGTATGAGGCTATGGTGAGCTTTTGGAAGCAAAAGAATCGAATCCGAGTATTTTATCCATACAAAGAAGTGACGCACAAACATTTGTCCGGTACCTTGCAAACGGCACCCAGCAGCAGAAGTTCTTACTCCAAGTATAGGAAGAGGTGAATGTGTGCAGTTTGGAGCCTGGGTGTTGGTGCTGCAGGGTGCCGCTCCGTCTATAGCTTTGGAGCTTGGATGGTGGTGTCTCTGGAGGCCGCTGCAGGTTGTTGCTGCCAAATGACTGCAAACGCATGCATTTTCCTGCAGTTCGGATTTGTGCCTATCATCTCAAAAGTGACTCCTTCAGGAGGCACGTCTTGTTGCCAAAAACACGCTTGTCCGTATTTATATTTGCGCGTGCAGCTCTCGCTATCTAGGTAAAAAGAACAAACATTGGAAAAACAGAAAGGAAGAAAGATTGTGGTCAATGGTGGGCATAATAAGAAAAAAAGAAAGTATCATTTGTGTCGAAAGGCTGTAGTACTTTTCTGGCACTAGTTCGGTATGCAAAGTTGAAACACGTGCATACCCAGCTCATGCCTTGCACTCGTGCGGTCGTGGAGGCTTTTCACTTCTTGTTTCATGTTGACCAACTTTGATCCATCGAGGAATCGATGGTAGAGTGGTGAAAGCAATTGATGGCTGCAGGAGTCTCACCAAAATAGTAGCTTCTTGTTACTATTAGTAAGAATGCTCCTAGTAGTAAGGCCCTTTGTTCCTAGTAGCGATGCCCTTTGCTACCAGTAGCTTCTTGTTACCAGGAGTAAGAATGCTCCTAGTAGTAATGCCCTGTGTTCCCAGTAGTGATGCCCTTGCTCTTAGTAGCGTTCTTGTTGCTAGTAGTATGGCCAGGAGCTACTAGTAGCTTCTTGCTCCTAGTAGCGATGCCCTTGTTACTACTAGCGATGGCCTCCAACCTAGAGTGGTGTGATTTCTGTAGCTGTTCATGGTTTCCGTCTTTCTTTAGACTTTGGAACCATTCTCGCTTTTCTTTGCGGACTTGTTCTTGCTCCGTGTCATTACTTGTAGATTTATCTCTGACACTTGCCAGTGATGCCAGGTATCTCAGAAAACCATATTCATGATGTGACATGGTGTGTTTATCACTGTGACATGGTGTGCTCTTAACAAAATCGCTTTTCCATTCTCTTCTTTGGCAACTCTGCTGTCCCTCATCCGCAATCCCGCCTCATCGCCTCTCATCCTCAAGGTTGCATGCTCCGGTTAAATCGGTTCAACGTCAACTCTCTGAGATTCTCCCGGATTAGTCAATACGGTAGCATCGCTAAAGAACATCACATGAACACTTGGAAAGGGCCTTAGTACACTCTATTTTAGACATGTTGCCGCTATGATCAAAATCTAGACGGGACTGAACAAGAACGCGTGTCCTTTTATGGCAAAACCAAACTTTGCAACGACAAATGTGTCTCTGTGGCCTTCTGAGGTGCAGGCTCGTTAGAAGAGCCGACTGAACCAACCGGAGTACCAATCTCCCATTCTCCATGCGCCCAGCTACATGACCCTGCCGCCTTGCAGCAAAGGATACTGAAGTACTTCCACAATGAAATCTCAAAGCAGATTCAAAGTCTTCAAATGCTTGGTCTGTACTAATGCACTTATCACATATTGCCCAAGCAGTGTGTATGTTTCTAGCTATTGAAAAGAATGAGCTCCAGATCAAGGTTTCTCGGCTAGGATATTGGATGTCTACAATCCTTGCGGCCTTGTCCAGGGTCACAGAAATTGCTGTGTTCGAGAATGTCTTGTGGTGCTGTGCGCATGATTGAATTTGCCTTCCTGACAGGCACACTTCGGAGTGGTCATTTCGTGGGAGATGCAGGTTGGAGCAGTTGGTGGCGTGAATGTGTCAATGTCCTCTCATACAAGCACATTTGTCCGTACTGTCTTCTCCTCTGTGCTAATATGTCTGCTTTCCGCTTTGTGTGCCCTTTGGTGTATCCTCCGTGTGCTCAGTCATGCATCCGGTCTCAAAGTGTGCTCACAGGTCTGCTCATGTCCTTAGAGTATATAAGTGTTCATGTCCTCAGATGAGTGCTCTCTTATTTGTGTTCTCTTGCGTGTTCTCAGATGTGTGTCCTTAATATGTTTTCTCTCATGTGTTGGTTGTCCTTCTCGCGCGCACCCTATTGCGTGGGCTCTCATGTTCTGTGTATGACGTTGCTGTCTTGTCTCTGCTGTCACAAGTGTGCTCAGTGTGTGTGTGCTCTACTTATGTGCACACGTTCGCATGTCTAGGCTCTCAAATGTGTGCTCATTTGTGTCTGCTCTCAAAGGTGTGTCCTGTGCGATCGGCCCTCCTGCTTGCTCTCTCATATGATGCGTTCTTTTGTGTGCTCTCTATTGCTCTCTCATGAGAACTCTTAAACGTACAACATATGTGCTCACGTGTATCCTGATTTTGTGTCTGTGTGCTCTCTCTCCCTCTCGCCTGTGTGCTCTCATTTATGTGTGGCCTTGCGTGCTGGTCGTACATGTGCTCGTCGATGGGAACTTCTTTTTGGCTCGTTGATGCCAGCATCTACTCGCTCGAATTTGGAACTCCATTTCGTGTGGCCAGTGTGGGACGGTCGATCACCCTCTTTTCAACCCGTGGGCCTGTGGGCTCTTGTTCTCTCCAGTGTGTTCTCACAAGTCTGCTTGCGCTCGCGGTGTGCTCTCTTGTCCTCATGTGTGCATATCTGTCCTATTTCATAAAGCACATTCACATAAAACACTGTGTATATATATATATATATGAGGATGCCATCGCTATTAGGTTGGAGGCCAGCGCTATTAGGTTTCAAAAACCGTCCAGGCAAAGCTGTGCCGGCAACAGTGTGAGCGTTTTGCAGCCGCCTGGAGACATCTTCCTTGTTGCCAGAACTTGCAAAGTGTTCGTCGCACCTGCCAAAACTCAAAACTGCAAACTGTAAAAGACTTCAGCTCCTTGGCAAGTTGATAAGTCCCCCCCCGCTTCCTCAACTCATAGACGCAGTCAACACAGGAAGTTGCGCCTCTACAACTGGTTGGTTTGAAGCTGGCGTACCTGCCAGATTCTCACAGGCATCAGGTTGAAAGGAAGCGCTTCCCCAATCTTCATACTGGAAGTCGTTTGCTTACTTGGGGAGGCCATCGCTAGAGGCCATCACTTTTGGGCTGGAGGCCATCGCTATGAGCCAGCAAGCAAGCAAGCAGTGGAAATCTCCAGAAGGGAGCACTGGTAGGGTTGGCTCCAAGCATGTGCGCTGGCACCGTCTTGTCCTAGCATGAGCTTTGGGCATTGCGCTGTAAAAGAATTAACCGACCATGATCATCTATGAACTCTCCGGGGGTTTCGCAACTGGTCGAAGGGAAGGGAGCCTTTTTTGCTGCAAACAAAGATATGTCCAGGGACTGGCTCTCGACCTTCCGATCGCAGTTCACAGTCCAGCTGCCGTAGAACCTCGCGAACCAGCTGACACACGAACCATGAACGATCACAGCTCCTCATGTCTAGTCTACTTATTCCTTGACAAGTGCAGGGGATGAGTTAGGGTGACCGTTAAAACACCACCACCACCACCACAAGTTCTTAGAATCTCTTCGGAGACATTCGTCCCACTTTGCTGGTGAAACACAAGGCTCCCCCTGAAGATATGAAGAAAGGAATTGCCACTCCACACCGACCGACCCAAAAGACTCCGTTTTCGGAGTAGAAAACTCATGTTTGCTCCGTTCGTAGCGATGCCCTTTGCTAGTAGCGATGCCAGGAGCCCCCAGTAGCGTCCTTGCTCCTACTCATGTTTGGTCTACTTGAAATGCGAAAACTATTAGAAACAAGAAGCTACTCGGAACAAGTGCATCGCTTCTAGTAACAAGTGCCTTACTAGTAGTAACAAGAAGCTAGTAGTAGAAACAATGCATGACCTGACAAGGTGGAAAACTGCACCGCCAGTGCGCACGCCCCCGTTTTCGGACACTTTCCCGTGGCCCTTGCGCTACCGTGTGTTGGAAGGAAAAGCACTTCGTTTCACTCAAGTCATATCAACTACAGAGGTGGGGCAGTGGCCCCCTGTCCGCCTAGTGTTGCACCCCGGGATTGAAACCGAATCCATTGCATCAGGGGTGCGTCATAGCCACTAGACCATACCCGTCCTCGTGATTCTAAGAACTTATCAAGCTAGTATGTGTTGGGCCTCTGGCTGGAGAAGGTGAAAGCTGTCGCGATCCAATGGGGTTTTAAGAGCTCAATTACTTGGAAAGAAAAACACGTGCCTACAAAGTGATCGACTGGCTTGCATTGTGGTTCAATCAGAAAAAAAGGGGTAGCCCTTGCGCCTCAAAGCCGGAGGTTCCAGCAAGGGCCGTCACATAGCCAGCATTGTGTGCTACCCGGCCCGTTCCCTGACAGACTCAAGTCAGGACAACATAAATTGAATAATGTTGTTTGTAACATCACTTTTCTGGTGGGAGTAGGCCAGTAAAAGGAAGTCGCTAACAAGTAGCGAACCTGGTAAGGGGTAAGTAGGTATCTACTAACACTACTAGACAGGGCACAGAAGAGTTCAGGTTTCTTAAAGACCCCCACGCATGATTGATATGGATCCTGGTAGAAAACTGGAAGCGTTCGGAGAATCTAACTAGAACCGCTTGAGACAAGAAGCGATGGCCTCCAACCTACTAGCGATGGCCTCCAACCTGATAGCGGAATAGACTACTAGACAACGGAATAGACTAGGAACAAGAAGCTACTAGGGGCTCCTGGCCTTACTACTAGGAGCAAGGACGCGAGGATCTTCAAACTTGAGACGTCGCGCAAGTGGCCCAAGGTCGAGCCCAGTCTCGCCTCCAAACGATAGTCATTGCAGAAACCCTTCGGTTTTTCCACAGAGAATGCAAAAATACCATCCGCCACAAGTCTCCGGTGTGCCAGGAGAAAGATTCGCTCCAAAGAGGTTACCTTAGATTCACGAAACCGTTGTGGAAACATAACCTGAAACAAGAAACATGTTCAAAGCACCTATAAAGCAGAATCAAGTTTCATAGACGAAAACGTCGGCGGCAGTGATGAGACGATAATCCACTTCATCATTTGCCTACCAGAGCTGTTCCAGGAAACAACAAGAAAAAGGCAAAGACGAATGGCCCGCGACAAATATTCCTATTCTCCAAGTGTCATTAATTGTTTTTGAATCGGCCAACTATGACTAGCGACAAATTGTTGGTCTGAACCCCCCTACGAATATTTACCACTACTTTGCTCCATTGGCTTTGCCTTCTGCAAGTCTTAAATCCAAGAGACACCCTGGTGCCCTGGTTTCTTTTTCTCTCTTCTCTCTCTGGCTTTCTGTTGTTCTTCATGCTCTCAAACTCTGAGTTGCATCATTCCCACTGTTCTCCCGGGGGTCGGCAACTAGGAGCTTTTCTGTTTGCTGCAGTTTTTGCTGCTGAACCTGTTGGAAAGCTTTTCCTCACACTTCAAACCCCTTTTTTCTTGTGGGGTGGTGGGCGCTGACTCCTTGGCCCCTTCGAGCACCTGATCTGGTCGTCACAAAGTCGTCGTGTTTTTTGCTTCATATTCATGAACGCAAGGAACAACGCTAAAAACAGGAATGGTGTCAGCCCATGGTGTCAGGGGAGGGATGGTATGTGACAGGACAGCAATGAAGAAGACATTATATACATAGAAAGACAACCCTCCAAAAATGCTTGTTTCGACGTTCTCACCTCCAGGAACTGACACATATCCGTGCGGTGAAGGAGATCATAGCACCCCTTCTTCTCGGCCTTCGCAAAGAAAAAACACCATGAGCAAGGAGGCTACTAGGGGCTCCTGGCATCGCTACTAGGAGCAAGGACGCTACTAGGGGCTCCTGGCCTTACTACTAAGAGCAAGAAGCTTCTAGGTTAGAGGCCATCGCTATTAACACCAAAGAACACCTTCGCTGAGTCACCTTGCCTGCGACAGCATTGCAGCCGATAAATCTAAGCCTTCCAGGAAAGCGCGCGGTGCACTGTCACGCAATTGCTCACCCAAGAGGCCAGTTCCTCAGAGCCACTGGAACGGAAAAAAGAAAGTATAGAAGAGGTGAATAATGGCGATGGCCTCCAACCTAAAGATTAAAAGAAGGTATCGAAAGGTGAGCCCTTGTAAAGCTATGCCATGTGAACGCATGAAAACGAGGTGCCAGCTCCAAGATCCAAAATACGCATGTTTCTTGGCGCAGCTCCAACATCCCATCCACTGTATCGCAGTGCCTTGCAATGCTATTTCCTCACACACACACACCATCTTAGATTCGAAAACTTGTTTAATGAAATGAAAAGCATGTGTTTAATTTCGTGAACTGCGAATGCTTTGAACCCAACATGCGCCTGCATGATCATCTGGGGCACTTGATAGTTCAGGTGCTCCAGGCGGCTTTCAAACGTCGGTGAGAACCGATCGAACAAAGAGGCTACGTAGTCTTTGGAGATCGTCTCCGGCGTTTCATTGGTTGCGATGTACAGCAAATGCTTGGCCAATGCCAAGCGCAGTGTCCGCTCGTCTGCGTTCGGCCGTTCATGAAGCCGATGGCTGGCAATGTCCTGGTTGACTCAATGCCGCATGATGAGTCAACAAATGAGGTAAACTGTCCACAAATGCCTGGAGCAAGATGTGATGTTCTAGAGGGCGCTACTAGGAGCGAAGGGCATCGCTACTAGGAGCAAGGACGCTACTAGGAGCAAGATGTGATGTTTGCAAATGCCAAGATTCCAAGTGTTTGCGCAAGGCATCCGCAGCCTCATCTGGCTTGGCTGCCAACAAGGCCTCGCCCAGTCGCAAGAAGGCAGTGGGATGCTTTGCATTGCGCCGGGTGAGGCAGCGTAGCAATCGCAAGCGTTCCTGCTGTAGTGAAATCCACAGAAATGCAAAATGGAGATATGAAGATATGTGCGCGCTTTCAGAACATCCCAGCAATGTCAAGTTGCTCTTCTGAAATCCTAGAACCCCTCTTTCGCGTTCCTTTTGCTTCCCTTTGCTTTCAACCCTGCAAGCTCTCTGCAGATTGACACATCATCGATCTGAAAATTCTGCAAGTGAACAATGGCCTCTGGCTCCCTGCATGCTCGACGAAATGCTGCCACTGCTAGGCGCTTGTGATGCTTGCGTTGAGGCCGTCGGGACTTGCAGAACTTGGAGAGTTGCAAATGGACCGTTGCCAGGGCTCGCCAGGCTCTCACACTTGGTCGAAGCCTGCACAGAACTAGGAAGAACTGAGCAGTCCCTGCTCGGACACCCAAACCTGTTTCAAAAAAACATGCTATTCATACTCTAAGAGATACAAAGCACGCTCACGTTGTCTCGCGTCCCTCCGCTTTCTGCCTCTCCTGGTCAGAACATGCAGCAATGCAGCCCGACGCTCCAGCTCCGCCGGCATCGCACTGGAAAGGTGTTCATGAGCACTGCTGCCATGAATCTGTGCAATTTTCCTGCGGACAATTGGTCAACCTTGAAATGCCGTTGGAAAGAAGAAAAGATCAAAACAACAGCTTTGCTTTTCTCTCTTTAGAATCTTTAGACATATCTTTCTGGTCCGTTTATATGGTTTCTTTTCTTTGTGTACTGAGTGTATGAGTCTAAAGAGACGAGCCAGAAAAGCTTCGAAGCCCCAGACTGAACACCATCAAATCGCACAAAACAATGGTTCTTGCTAACAAAAGTCGGGAAAGACAGGAAATCAGGATCTAAACCAATCAGGATGTTTTTTGTGTTTGAGCTTCTAAAGCCAATCCTTCTGAGCATTCCAAGGCCACAAGATCAAGAAGGGGATCAGTGACAAAGAAATGGAAAGACTTAAACATGTTTCAAAGCGCATAAAAAGAGGGTTGTGCTCAACACGGCTGCATTCCTCCACTCCGTGTGCCCATGTACAGCTTGCACCGCGCGTGCACTGGCCCTGACAGGATCGAGCAACGATGCCAGGCGAAGCATGAGCCCCTAGTAGCATTCTTGTTCCTAGTAGCGATGCCCTTGTTCCTAGTAGCGATGCCAGGAGCCCCTAGTAGCGTCCTTGCTCCTAGTAGTAAGGCCAGGAGCCCCTAGTAGCTTCTTGCTACAGTGCGACACAATGATTGCGTGTTGTCCGTTTATCACTGCTGCAAAAGCAAGATCGAACTGATTTGTCAAGAGGCCTCCTGACTATGGTCTTGCCTGCATTTGGAAACACTCCCCGGAGAAACCCAACCCTCCAGCTCCAGATCGCTGCGCCTCAAGCCAAAATTTGCACATGGTCTTTTTCACGGGCTGCTCAACTCCAAAGCCTTGGCTGTCAATGCCAGAGATGCGGTTGGTCTTTACAAATTCCCTTGGCTGGTAGCTGTTGTCCTTGCACTTACAAGTTCGGCAAGTTTGGAGGGGGCGTTGTGGAGTTTCGACAAAGTGTGTCGACTTTTTGATCATTTATCTTGAGGTCTTGTGCCGTGGTATTCAGAAGAACACCAGGCACGCAGGACTAAGTCCTTGCCGAAGCTGCTTTGTCCCTATGACACACGCACACCTCTTGCAGATTCAGAGTTTAAACAGGAGGTTTTGAGAGTCCTCCATCCTCGTTACCTGTCACTCGTCATGCTTTCTTCAGACTCATGTCTGTTCATGAGGCAGGTAAAAGTTTTTGAAACATATGCACTGCAACTGATGGAAGGGTTTGCAAGGTTTGCCATGCAACCGAGTCCTGGTGGTCCCGATCCAAAACCACGCAGGCTGAAGCGACTGAAGCTTCAGAAAGACTTGCTCTTTCACAGGCTGAGGCTGGGGCTGAGGCTCTGAAGAACCTCTCGCAGGGTCAATACGGCTCCCATTAAGTAGTAATGCACTTGTTACTAGTAGCGATGCCCTTTGCTACTTCTTGCTACTACTTAGTTGTAACTGTATTTTCGACATTCCAAACACGTCCTCGGTCCTCGCCTCAAACTGCGGAGCTTGGCCTTGCATTTGGAAGACTGAGGTTTGGCCATGGCCTCAGTCTCTGGTGCTCACGAATCCATTGAGCCCGCAAAGCCGATTGCAAAGGCTTGCCAATTGAATGTCAAGCCTCTCGCATGACACTCTTGTCGGCCACTCTTGAAAAATACTATTGTAGGACACTTTTGAATGACACTCTTTTGGGACGCTCTTGTTGGACCCACTTCAGTGCAAACGCACCACTGCCAACGGCCAAAAGCACAGCTTCACCTTCCGTCATAACAGCATTGCAACTGGACCACTCCACGAAATCGCACAAGACGTACTCCCCAAGCATCGATGCATCGTTCTACACCTTTTTGTTCGATGCCTGGTTGCCTTCCGTTGTGTGGCAAAGAAATATTACACGGGGCATGCTTTGTAGTGAAGAAAGCTCAATCGAAGTTATAGCAGCGCGTATTTGTGCACCACCATTTTGCTATCCTCCATGATGCACTATCCATGTTCCTTCTCCACTGCCACCAGTTCAAACTCCCCCAACTAGTTGCCATTGTTTGCTTGTTCAATTCTGTACTGTACAAGTTTCATCCATTCACACTTTATCCGTGGGATATTGTCCGCTTCTTTGAAGTCCTCCAAGCTCTTCGGCGTCGAGCGGATGTCTGTGTTGTTATTCGGAGCCCAACTCTTTCCAAATGTTTAGAACTGCCCTCCTCTTGACTTGTTCACTTTCCTCGAAGACAGTCAAGCGATACTTTGAGATTCAGCAAAGAGTTGATTTTAGGAGCAAGGACGCTACTAGGGGCTCCTGGCATCGCTGCTAGGAGCAAGGACACTACTAGGGGCGTTCCTGGCATTACTACTAGGCCTTGCGTGTTCAACCTATCATATCCCTCCTCCATCCACCCCTTGGATCGCTAAGCAAGAAAGCTTTTCATCGACAGGATCGCAGCCCCAGGGTTGTCTTTGAGCACCGCTTGGTGCATGTGCCTCGAATGTATCCTTCGCAAGCTACATGGCCCAAAAAATATATCAAGCACCATCATGCCCTACCGTCAATAGTTAAAACCGGACATCAAGAATGTGAAGCTCGACTTCAAGCAACCATGGAACTCATTGTCTGTTGTCTGCCAATGCACCGGGTGCTCTTGGGCGCCATGAACTCGAAAACGTGGTTTGCTTAGACAAGGAATGGAAAGAATTACATACCCGCCCAATAAGGATGCCTTGTTCAGCTGCGAACGCTCGCGACCGCCCCAGACCACTTGCGATCACCAGAGTTAAGGAAAAGTCTATAGATCTGCTGTGCTCCTCGACGCGTCTGAAAAGCTTAGACAAAATACTTACCAACTCAAAGGCGCTTCCAAGCTCCGGACTCTTGCCAGTCATTCCCTTCACAAAAAACCATGCAGTTTCTCAAGAGAAAACAAGACAGGTAGACCGTCAGTGACCGTCAGACAGTATGAGAATACAAACCACGTGAGATGCCTTGCCACCTTTGACAGGAACTGCAGTCGCATAGGGTTGCAGTGTGGTAAAGACCGTGCTGTTGCGCTTGACCGCCACAGCACCTCAGTTGCTCACGGGGTTCGTTGGAACTTCCCTTGCTACAAGGAAAATTGATAGCATAGGTGTTTGTATATGTTTTCGGTTATTTTGTCTGTGTTATTCTCTTTCTTCTTTGGACCTTTCTTTCTCTTCTGTTCTTTGCTTGGCTCTTTTGGTTTCCTTTTCAGTCCAAAAAAGGCCTTAGGCCCTAGGTGACTGGTATTTTAGGGACGGACAAAGCGCTACGGTATCGAGGGGCGCCCTCACGCTTGCAACAACCCAGGTCCCGGCGCTCCACAGGTATCGCGGCCTCAGTTTCACAAGCGCAGTCCACATCCAATCGATCCACGATTTCAGAATCTGAGACTTCTGATATTATGGTTAGTCTTCTGGTTATTCTTCTTCCGTTCTCCTTTTCGCTCTTTGGTTGGAGGCCATCGCTAGTAGGAGCAAGGACGCTACTAGGAGCAAAGGGCATCGCTACTAGGAGCAAAGGACGCTACTAGTGGCTCCTGGCCTTACTAGGAGCAAGAAGCTACTGGTAACAAGGGCAGACGATCTTTTCACCGCTAGTAGGTTGGTCTCACCTTCTGTTTTTCAAGTCGCAGACGCCGAGCTCTTCGTGGCCGTGAGCCCACGTGCACTCGCCCCCTTTGGTGCAGGTCCCCTGCACGAAGCATGACACGCAAGGCAGATAGGCACCTTGTTACTAGTAGCTCACAAGAACGGGGTCTGAAGGTCCAAAGGAAAAAAGATAGAGAAGAGACTTTCTTGGACTTCTTCAGCTGTTGGTCTAGCCAGTAGCCTCAAAGAGAAGAGAATGAAAATAGAAAAAAGAAAGAAATGTCCAAAGAAGAAAGGAAAAAGTAAGTAGCTCCCAAGGAGCGTAGCATGAGGTGGTATGGAAATCAGGTGTTTGGCACATATGTAAAAGCAAGGCAGTGAAGAGATTTTTGGAGGAGTTTAGGATGTCCAAAACACATGGGCATGTCGTGTTGTGCCAAGTACAGTTGGCATTTGGCGCCTGTTCCCAGAATTTGCAAATGGTGCGCTTCACGCCATTTGGCCCTGCACATGCAACAGTGCTCCTAGTAGCTTCTTGTTCCTAGTAGCGATGCCAGGAGCCCCTAGTAGCGTTTTTGTTACTACTAGTAAGGCACTTGTTACTAGTAGCTTCTTGTTCCTAGTAGCGATGCCAGGAGCCCCTAGTAGCGTTTTTGTTACTACTAGTAAGGCACTTGTTACTAGTAGCTTCTTGTTACTAGTAGCGAACCTTGCTCCTACTAGTAAGGCACTTGTTACTAGTAGCTTCTTGTTACTAGTAGCGAACCTTGCTCCTACTAGTAAGGCACTTGTTACTAGAAGCGATGCACTTGTTACTAGTAGCTTCTTGTTACTAGTAGTAAGGCCAGGAGCCCCTAGTAGCGTCCTTTGCTCCTAGTAGCGATGCCCGTTGCTCCTAGTAGCTTCTTGTTCCCAATGTTTGCAAAGTTCCGGCGCAAACAGGAAGGACCTGTCCATGCATACAGTTCTTGGTCCGTGCAACAATTGAAGTCAAAATGCATGGACATCGGCTTCTATCAGGATGTGAACCTGCACCCTGACCCAGCGGCTGCATTGGCTGCATTGGATGCATGGGCTGCATGGGCTGCATTGTGTCCGGAGTTGGCAACGGGGCCTGAGCATTCTTTCTCTATTGTGTGAAATACTCTCACCTCTCTCTATATAGATATATCGCTGAGCTTTGAGCAGTCTTCTAACTCCAAGTTCCAGCTCAGTTCCTTACACCAATCTCTTCTTCGCCATGAGCAAAGGAGCAGACAGCACCCTTTGTGCAAGCACCCTGGGCATGTCGAGCATGACACATCCTATCTTCCAAAGCCTTGCTTGATGCTCACCTAAACCCTGCAAAGCATGTATTGTCCTTCGATGCCCTCTCAAAAGAAAGAACCTTGCAAAGCATGTGTCTGTGTCCCGTTGCATGCATCGCCTCTAGCCAGAACTTGCAAATTGTGCGCTTCGTACCCACGGCTGCGACACCTTCCATCGAGAAGCAAGTCGGGGTATGGATGCCCTTGCTACTGGTAGCTTCTTGCTACTAGTAGTAAGGCACTTGTTACTAGTAGCGATGCACTTGTTACTAGTAGCTTCTTGCTACTAGTAGTAATAATGCGTCTGTAGATTGGGCAGTGTGCTACGGGAGAGATTGCAGGAAGTAGAAGGATTTACAGTAGAGGTTTATACTGAGTAGCTCTTTGCAATTGGTACCGTCCATAATTGCCAGTATCCAGAATGACACCACTAACTTCAACCACGGTTAGAACTACTCTTTCTAGTGATGCTAGTTTTACTTTCTAGTGCTGCCACTACGACTGCTACTAGTCTCAGTGAGCAGTGATGCTGGAAATACGAATTCCAGTGAGCACTCGAAGCAGGAGCCACCGATACAAGAAGTATGGTCCAGGAGGTATGGTTGGGGAAATCCTTGGCAAGCCACAAACACTCTAAATAAGAAATAGTATAACATGAGTGGCCGAAGATACTTGCAGCCATCGGGTGAAGGCAGAGAGATGTCTCCCCATTCTGCTCACACTCTTGGACTTCACTATCTCTTAGGTTGGAGGCCATCGCTATTAGGAGCAAGGACGCTACTAAGGGCTCCTAGCATCGCTACTAGGAGCAAGGACGCTACTAGTTTCGAGTTTGCCAAGTCAGGCTCAGAGAGCTTCTGTGAAGAACCCATCGAAGGTCTGCGTCCCCAGCGCCTTGTAGCTTCGCTTGTTACCGGTAGCTTACCCTCTCTTACCCCTCCTACTTACCCACGGTCATCATATCTTCTCACGGCCGAGGCGTCTCGAAAGCCAAGCACCTACTAGTAAGCTAGTAGAAACAAGTGCATCGCTAGTAGTAACAGGTGCCTTACTAGTAGTAACAAGAAGAATTTAATTAGAATTGTAAATACTAGCTTCTTGTTACTACTAGTAAGGCACTTGTTACTAGAAGCGATGCACTTGTTACTAGTAGCTTCTTGTTACTAGTAGCTTCTGAACCTTCTTCAACCAGCGGTGGCCTCCACGCGAAGCAATGGCCTCCAACCTACTTGCGATGGCCTCCAATCTTCTTCCTCCCTTTTCCTCTTCGTTTGTGTTCGGTGTCCAAACCCTCTGCAACATAACATGTCCCCTCCCTGAAACAAAGCCAAAGGCACTTTCTTGATGCACTCGGCCTCCGTTGACCTGACCATCTGCAAGGAAACTGGGACTCAGGTTCTTGTCAGAGACTCCAGCTTCTAGAATGCATGTTCAACAATGGCATCTTCATACTGGTAAGGGCGAAAGGAGCTACTAAGTCTAACTTGAGTTTGTGACCAAGTTTGATAACAAGGGCATGTAAAGAAAGCCGCGTGTTTACTCTACTTTTTGACCCTTCCTGTCTGCATGCATTTTCGTAACTAAAAGCTAGTAGGAAGGTAAGCAGTAGAGAGGAAACTACTGGCAACCAAGGACATAGTAGAACCCTCGCTCTACAAATTGTTGCAAAGACTATCCGGGACATCAGCCTTCAGATACTCCTTTTTGTCCTTTCTTCTTATTCAATCAAAGCCCTTCTTTCTTTTGTTTAGTTCCTGTTCTTTCCTCAGATCGCCTCTGCCAAGTCAGCAGAGCCATGCGCGAAGGTGCAGTCAGCACCCCTGGTACAGCTGCCCTGACCAGTTCGCAAAGAATGTCATTTGCTACTTGACGCAGGAATGCGTCAAACATTGGATCAACTTACAAATATGTTGGAGCAGCCTGCTCCCAGAACTTGCAAATAGTCCGCTTGGCATTTGGACCTCATTCCAAGCTGCCACACTGCAAAAACTCTAAGGAATGACACACAAGCTCTGCGTAGTTTGGAAGCGAAGGGAAGGGAAGGGACGGGAAGGAGAGATAAGAACCAGAAGCACTAAAAAGTCAAGAGAAAAAGGAAGAAATCAGAATACGTGCAAAAATCTATCAAAAAAAAACTAATGTGTTCAAAAGTCTCCAAAAAGGATGTGGGTCTACTTGTTGTGTTTAGTTGCGATGTGTGTCGTTTTTGTGAGGGAGTAGGCCGTAAAAGGTAGCTTGTTTCTTAAGGAAGCTCCTAGATAGGACGCAGGATAGCTCACAGGATTCATGTGGTTCCAGGACTCTTGTCTTTAAACAAAAATTGCATTTAGGTGATGCTCTTCAGCCACAGCCTGGCACACCTGCGGAAATAAAAAGAATGAAAAGAACGCCTATTTGTAGTCCGCCCTGTTGCCCAAACTCGCTACTAGGGGCTCCTGGCCTACTACTAGGAGCAAGGACGCTACTAGGGGCTCCTGGCATCGCTACTAGGAGCAAGAAGCTACTAGTAACAAGAAGGCCATCCTATTAGGAAACAGTTTGCAACATGCCTTTTTGCATGCCAAGTTCTTCGCCCATGCTCTGAACGAGAGGACCTGGAGGACCTGGCAAGGCCGGCAGTTGAGGCTCGAGCTCGATCTCAGCAACCCACAAGGAAACACACACGGCTCATCACGGCTCTTTCTCAAAGAAGAAAGAGTAGAAAAACAAGGATAACAAGGGTTCCTAGCAGCTACTTGCTCCTAGTAGTATGGCCAGGAGTACTAGTAGCGTCCTTGCTCCTAGTAGCGATGCCCTTTGATACTAGTAGCTGCTGTGTGTGTGTGTGCGTGTGTGTTGGGTTCTTTTTAACAAGGCCACCCTTAAAGGTCCCTCATTAAAGGGACCCAAACACCTTCTTTCACGCACTGAACACACATGGCCTTTCGATCCAATCTAGAACGAGTTTGCTTTGCCACGAACAAGCTCGCCCCTTTTCTGGTTCACCAAGCAACGCTGGGCGGCCTACTTGTCAAGGAGTCTTTCCCTTAAAAGATCTTCCAGCCAGCCCCGCAGCGCACTTTGTGAGATCACTTCTGCCTGTGATGTCTGCCAAACTTCCTTCCAGCTTGCTCCAAGGAGAACCATACTTGCTGTGCCCAGGACCCCAAAAAGGCCATTGTTGCCATTTTAATACGTCCACCTATCCAAGTGGTGTTGTCCACTCCTTAGAGCCTTTTGCCTAGAATGCCTTACCAAAAAAAAGGACAAGCTGACCAGCATGTGTTTTTTGTTGTGCCTTGAAAAATGATCTGTCGTAGCCCTCTCGTTGCGTGATGATGCTACTGAAATTCCGAACTGCTACAAGGCCTAGTCTGTTTGCAGAATTCCTAGGTCTGGAATGCATCACTGGCAAATTAAACCAATGAAACAAATTAATAGTTTCTTTGTTTCTAGTAGCGATGGCCTCCAACCTAAGAGCAAACTATAAACTTTAAATACTTTTTACACAGAGCCACTGACGTTCGTTAGAAATGACTTCCAGGCACCACGGTCAGATTGGATTGCGCGCAGGCTCATTGAAGCGGTTCTGAAGCCGCCTGTCATGCAAACACTTTCGAAATACAAGGCTAGCACCAGCTCTCTACTAGTGCTTTCCTAAAAGCCTGTGGAGGTTTATGGTCTGTCTCAGATCTCTCAAAATCCATGTTCTGGATATCTTAGGGAACTTTGAACATGTTTCTTTCTGTCCTTTCACACTATCTCTCTCTCTCTCTCTCTATACGGCTTCGGTTGAACCGTTCGCACCTCGGTTTCACCTTCACGCGAGGACACGTCCGTGCCACCTTTTCCATGACGTACATCATGCCTGGTGCAATTCATATCGACATCGCTACTGGGTTGAAGGCCGTGACTACTAGGTTGGAGGCCATCCGCTACTAGGTTGGAGGCCATCGCCCTTAGGACGTAGTGATCGAACTCCCAAAACAGGCTTGGCTGTATTGAATTTGAACGGTCTCTGGGCCACAAAGCTTCCATGACTGCATGGCCAATGTTCCTTTGCTTGATCAAGTTCTTGTACCCAAAAGAAAAGAATTGGCTATGTTACATTGCCAAACATTTGAACGGAAGCCGGCAAGATGACAAAAAACAACTTAGTGAAGAGCATGCCAAGGATAGAAGCAAATGCAGGTTGTGCAGGTTACGTTGTACCAAATCGCAGAACTTTGATGGGTTGTCTGCCTGCCTGACCGAGCTCGAATGTTCTGCTGCACTTCACCAAGGGCAGCCCTGGCAACGGGAGCAAAGCCCGGGTCAACAACAACACCCAAGACCTTGTTGATAGCATTCTTGTAGATATCGTATTCTTGCTTGTGAAGGAAGGAAAGAAAGAGAATAAATTAAGAAACACAAGGGTGACTGTTGCTAACAATGCAGGACCAAAGGAGCCAAAGCAACTTCATTGGGATTGCCAGCAGACGCACAGCATAGTCCAAATCAGTCCTGGGCCAAACATCACAAGGCGAACGCAGCCTGCATGCAATTGCCCGCACAATGTCTTGCAAAAACGCAAAACCCCGGCCCAGCAAGCGGATAGAGCTCCACCAGGCGTCTGAGCGCAAAAGTGCAAACCCAAACTTATGTCATTTGACACACTATTGACCAAGCACATGTCAATGCATTTAGGTATTGGACTGAACTACCCTTCCTCCTCCTCCTCCTCCTCCTCCTCCTCCTACTACTACTACTACTCCTACTACTGCTGCTGCTGCTGCTGCTGCTGCCGCGGCTGCTGCTGCTGCTGCTGCTGCTGCTACTGCTAATGCTACTGCTACTGCTACTGCTACTGCTACTGCTACTGCTGCTGCGTCTCCTAATCCTACTGCTACTGATGCTGCTGCTGATTCTGCTGCTGCGTCTCCTAATCCTACTGCTACTGATGCTGCTGCTGATACTGATGCTACTGCTACTACTAACAAGACTAGTGCCTTCTCTCTACAAGAACGCCTGTCTGCCGTCTCCTATTCGCGGCAGAAATGCAGAAAGCTTATTCTGATTGTTACTGTACGTTGACATTCCTCCCGCCTCTTTGTCCTGATGCGAGCCACCTGATTTGACTGGCATCAACTCTTGCTGCAAACTCATCTGCACAACAAACATCTTGTCAATGCCCATCACTTCTTTCTGAAGCTCGGCCACCGTTTCTGGATCAGGATCTTCCATCTGAGCCAGAAAATGTTTCACCACATTGGCCTCAATCAACACATGTTTATAGCTTCTCATTGTTGCTCATTTCAGCCCAAAAGAGCGGCTGCAGAACTTGCAGTGATAAATGCTCTAGACTAGATCGAATCTATGGTTTTTTTGAATGCATCCATTGGAGGCCATCGCTCTTAGGTTGAATGCATGCATGTGTTTGTTCAGCCGGTACCGCTTGCCATGAACGTTCCGGAGGCAAAACCGATCCTCGCCACGCTTGAAGGTGGTCACGACGCAGCGTCCACCCACAGCCAAGAGATCGAAAGCTTTCGGAAGACCTTTGAAAAGTCAGAAACAACATGATGAAGCTCAAACTGACAAATGTCAAACCAAGCTCTGCTAAATGAATGTTTCTTAAATCAAGTGCGCCTTCCCTGAGCTGCTCGACCTCCGAGTTCAAGAAAATTCGAAAAGCCTTCGCAAAGATTCATGCACCAAACCAGTGCACCCCGTAAACCAAAACGTGAGAAGGGTTCCTGTCACGGTTCCTCCACCTTCAACGGTTCCAGACTTCTTCCAAGCCACACTCAGCTCAGTCCGCTCCTAAACAACCCGACCGTAGTGGTATTGGAGAGTCATGGAATGTCCTATGAGCGTTTGTGAAAAATAGAAATACAAATATAGCACTTGTTTCTAGTAGCTTCTTGTTACTACTAGTAAGGCACTTGTTACTAGTAGCTATATATATAATATATGTATAAATCAAAATCACACCAGCATAGACCCCAAATAACAAAACATGCACAAAAAATTAATCTGGACAGTGGCACCAGCTCCAAAGCACGCACAGGAGCCTCTTCTTATACTGGAAGAAAGAACCCGAATAGTTCTGGTTGTCTGAGTGAAAATATGGATTTGGAGCGCCCGTGGCATCTATGGTTCTATGGGGTTCTTTATTTCGACTCATGACATGAGTCGTGGATCCGGCTCTTCAAAACATATTGATCCACCTCTATCCTGCACTGTTTTCTTTTACCACCAAGACCGATTCTTCAGGGTGGTGCACCACCTTCCTGCCCCTTTGGCATTAAAAAGCCGTGCAGCGCAGCAAAATCCCACTGCAAAGCAATCATATCAAACGAAGTAACAAGAAAACGTTTCCAACATCAAACATCGTACAAACGTAACACGCGCAAACCTTACAATATGATGTAGTTCGTATACATTCCGGCCTTCCGGCAGACAAAAACATGTACGCAAAGATTACAGCACCTACGAAAGTTTCACAGGCATCACGTGCAAGTGTGCAAACAAGGCACCAACAAAGCAAAGGCAGAAGATTCGAAAGACGGTGCTTCTATGGTGCGGCGCAGCCTTTGTTTTGGCACAAGCCGCCTGAAAAAATAATACAAAACAATACAAAACGGATAGAACCCACGAACCCGAATGCCTGATATAATTGAAAGGAGCGGATTGATATCAGACATGGGACAGCAAATAAAAACTGATCGGATTGTTTTTCTCGCGCGCACGCACGCTTTGCAGCAGCAGCGCCCTTGTAATGTTGGTTTCTTGACTCATTGTCATGGAAACGTTGCTCACCAAAAATGAAACAACCCTGGCTCGCCAAACATGCAATTGCACCTCGGCAGGGTTTGCTATTACCCGAAAAAAATCTGTGCAGCGGTGAGCGACATCTTGTCGCGGGAGCAGGTCAAATTTCGAGCAACATGTCTTGGCTTCCAGAATTTCCAAAGTATCGTCATCAGTCTCAGAGAAATATAAGGCACTGATGGAACCACTATTTGTCTGAGGCGGACAAAGATTTGATAAAGCACGCAAAGATTCTTGGTTGGATTTTGTGGTTATTGTATGAATTTAATGGGAATGGGGTCTCTGCATCTCTCAATCGGAACCGAGGAATGTCTGCAATGGGTGCCACCCAAAAACGTTAGCATGCAGCAATACGCTGTCATGTCCTGTTTCACTTGGCTGGGAGCTCAAGCAGCTTTTGGTTCACACTCATCGATGACCACGGGTAATATTTAGATACACAGATGTTCCTCAAGCGAGGACACCGTATGATGTGTCGCGTTAAGGTTTGCGCGTCCAAAAGTATGCGCGCAAGCCTTACAATATGATGTAGCTCTTATAACTAACCACGAGGCTTGTATAGGTGACCAACAAAGCAAAGGCAAAAAATTGAAACACCCCACTACTCCGCAGTTCCTCGCAAGCTCAAGCAGCTTTTGGTTCACATTCACGTGTCAATGATTATGGGTATACCAAGAGAGATACACGGATGTTCCTCAAGCGTATGCATTACACCCCGAAATGTTCCGTGTATAAGTAGTCTATGCGTACAAAAAAGATGCGGGCAAACAGTACAGCCTTTAGGTCTCAGAGCCGTGGGCCAAAGCAGAGAACCAGATGGATAGTAACAAGTGCCACGCTAGTAGTAACAAACAGCTATTAGAATTAAGTTTAAATTAAATTAATAGCTTCTTGTTACTACTAGTAAGGCACACACTCACGAGTATGTATATATATATAGATACACAAAATGTTCTTCAAGCGATGGCACCCTATGACGTTGCCCGTAAATGTTTATGTGTACAAAAGTAGCGCACAACACCAGCACCCAGCACCAGCACCAGCACCGGCCCTGTCTCGAAAGCGTCATTATTTGAAGTAAGAACCCCATCGCTGTCGCTATCTGGAGAAAAAGATATGAAAAAGAAGGGAGATGCCTTAACAAGGGAGCCTTACCTTCCCTTTTGACTTCTCTTACTTTTCTTTTTTTATTGTTTCTTATTGCGATGGCCTCCAACCTAGTGGCAATAAAGGGCCCGTTAAAGGGGCCTTAAATTCCCTTTTTCAACTCCTTTGTCTTCTTGGCCAAACAGTGGTGAGGAGCTCTTGCAGTGGGAATAAAGAGCAG